TCTAGGCAGGAAGGCTGCCCACGGCTGGTGGCTGGACAGGGCAAGAAGAGTTGGGCCTGGGACCGGACCCGGTGAGGGGCAAGGAGAAGAAAATCGACACAGGGGACTCCCTCACTCAACATCCACCTGCTGGGCACTTCTGTGGGGCCAGGGCCTGTGCCAGACCCCCCAGACCCTCAGGGACTCAGAAATGGGTCCTGATCTCAGACGCTCAGCCTGGGAGGGTGGCGCTGCTAGGGAGATCTAACTAATGACAGGCTCATGCAGCAATGAGGACCATGACAGGGCGGCCCAGGGTGCTACTGGACAAGGACCCTTGGCCCAGCATTGGGACTCAAGGAAGGCTTCCTGGAGGTGGTGTCAGAACAGAGTCCCCTGTAGCTAGCTCTGCAGCTGGAGGGGAGGGAAGGAGGGCGTTACTGCCTGGGCCAGATCGCGAGGGCAGATGGCGGGGTGGGGGGTGGAGGGGGTAGTGGCGGGGTGGGGCGGGGGTAGGGGCAGTGGCGGGGGAGGCAGACATGAGAGCGTAGCCAGGCAGGAACTGGCGACCAGCGCCAGGACGACAGGCCCCAGGGCCCGGCGGGCGCAGGGCGCGCCGCAGCGACCCACTCGCCCGCCCGTACCTGCGGCTCGCGGCGAGGCCCGGCCGGGCGCGGGGCAGCAAGAAGCCACGGCGGTGCCAGGCCCGCGCGCCCAGCATGGCTGCTCGGGGCCGTGGGCTGGGACACCGCGGACGGGAAGGGAGGGCCGGAGGCTGCGAGGGGCGGGCCCGGGCACCCACCCAGCCGCGGGCGGGTCTTCGCCGAGACTCCGGGCCTCGTGGCTGGTCTCCGAGCGCCGCCCGGTGGCCGAGCGCGGGATTGCAGACCGGACAGCCCGGGTTTGGGAGGACCCGGGTCTGTGCACAAAACTGGGCGGACTCAGCTGGACCTAAACGAGCTGCCTGCGGAGAATGACCTTCATGAGGAGAACATGGAGGGCTGTGAGGATGTCAGGGCCGTGGAACGCCAGAGCCTCATTTTGTCCAACGCTTGCCCATTTTACAAATAAGAAATGAGGCCCGCCCAGCCAGTAAACTGTGCCTTTGCTCCGCCCCCCTCCCATCTCAAGGTCCTGCGCAAATCCCTCCCACTCCAGGAAGCCTTCCCCGAATAGTAATCACCAGCCAACTTTAGGTCCTATCACGTACTTTACACACTTGTCTCATTTGCTACATTCAGCCAGTATTTATTGAGTGCCCACTGCCTGCCAGACACTCTGCTAGGTACACTGGTGGGCAGAGACCAGGCTCCTGCCCCTTGTGCTGCTCACAGTCCGATCCGGGAGGCAGAAGCTACCCGGACAGCCATACAAACGAATGCACAACTCCCCACTGTGAGAAGTGCTGTGCCGAAGGATAACAACGAAGCTGGTCTGGTGGGAGAAGCAAGCGGGGGAAGGCTTCCCTGAGGAAATCACATTTGTGTAGCAGCCATGGAGGAACGAGAAGATGGAATCTGGAGAGGGCGTGGGGGTAGTGCTGGGGAAGCAGGAGGAACAGATGTGCAAAGGCCCTGTGGCACTGCAGTGAGTCAGGGCTGAGGAACTGTGGAGGCCAGCATGGCTGCAGGACAGAGTGCAAAGGGAAGAGAGGTACTAGACAAGGTTGTGAGGTTGGGAAGGAGGGCAAGGGCCAGGTCTGGGAGGGACCTGTGAACTGTGAGATGGAGTTTTGGTTATTGATAAGAGCAGAAGAAAGATGTTGAAGGGCTTTAGTCAGGGGAGTGACCCCGCATTTTGGAAAGCTCCCTCTGGCTTCCTGGTGGAGAACAGACTGGAAAGGGGCAAGAGCAGAAGGAGGAGGTTAGGAGGCCATAGGTGGATGGTGGATGCCCGCACCTGGTGGAGGTGGAGGTAGAGAGAAGGGGATGGACTCGAGGCCCGTAAAGGAGGAGACGTGGTCAGGATTGACAGTGAGGGAGAGGGGGGGTGTCACAAATGATTCACAGAGTGGGACTTGTGCTGGATGGTGGGACCACTTGCCGAGGAGGGGGCACAGGAAGAGGCTCAGGTGGGGGGGTTCATGAGGTCATTTTTGGACGTGTTGGTTTGAGATGCCTTTGAGACGTACATGTGGACATGACAAGGCTCTGGAATGCAGAGGAGAGGTTGGTGGGAGAGAGGAATCGGGGGTGTTCAGTGTGGAGACGGTGCGGGCATGGGAGAGATCATCCAGGAGCCTGCAGCGAGAGGAGAGAAGGCGGCCCAGGCGCAGGCTCGGGGGAACTCAGGAGTGCACCTGTGAAAGACAGAGAGGGAACCGCCCGAGTGTCAAGGGAAAACCAGGAGAGGGTGTTGCCGCGGAGGCAAGGGGGCAGAGAGTTGCAAGGAGGGAGGGTCCGCATGGTCAGATTCCAGAGAAACCAAAGAGGATGAGAAAGATAAAGGTCCACTGGCTTCAGCCACATGGAGGCCATCGTGAGCTTGGTGGGCAGTGTTCCAGTGAGGTGAGGCTGACAGCAGAAGCTGACTGGAGTGGGTTGAAGAGGGAGGGGAAAGAAAGGGGACACAGACAGGACGGGCGCTTGATGTGAGGGGAAAGATGGAAAGACATTTTCAGTGGATGAGGCTAATTATGACAAACAGCAAGAGGAAGGATTCGGTTGGGAGAAGGCCGCTGACTATATGGAGATCACAGAAGGTGGGGGTGGTGGGGTGATGGAACAGTTGGCAGGCTGCGGGTCTGGTGGGTGCTCCCTGGAAGGAATAAGGTTAAGATCAGAAAACAGGAAGCCTGCCTTGAATGTGGAGGAATTGGGGGTGATGACAAGCCTGAGAGGTCAAGGGGCAGCAAGGTCATCCTCTTGGCTAATGGAGTCATGCGGGATTGAGCAAGATCTGGGTGAGAGCAAGACTGTGAGCCAAGACTGAAGCATGGCAAGAATGAGGTGGAGAGCAGCCCCAGGCAGGGAGGAGGCAGGACTGCCCAGTGGCTCCAGCCTCCAAGGAGGAGGGATCTTACAGGAGGGAGATGGTCCAGAAGTAGCTATGGGGAGCAGGGCTACCAACCTCTTCTTTGTGGGAGTCAAAACAGCACCCCTTGAGAGTCCCCAGGGAAGCAGTGCCCGCAGGGAGGGCCAGTTTAGAAGAAGAGGAGGGCCCAGGTAGGGGAGGGACGAAGGGGGGGGTCAGTGACCAAGGAGGATGGAGACCTCCTGGGTTTGTGTGCAGAAAACAGATGGGGGCTGGACTCTGGGCACTGCCTGGCAAAACCAGGAACAAGGGGTACGGCAGGTTCATTCCTCATGGTTAGTCTCTGAAGAGGGTGGCCCCTGGGCCGAATGGACACTGGCTGGGCAGGAGCCACACAGCAACCTCATAAGGAAGGAACTCTTGTTCCCACTTGACAAATAAGGAAACAGAGGCACAGAGTCATAGAGAGGTTAAGTAATTTACTCAAGGTCACGGAGCATAACCACGCATTACTAAGTGATTATTAAGTGATAACTTCGGAGCAGAGTTTTGAACCCTGTTGGTCTGACCCCTAAGTGCTCTTGTCCATCCTGCCTGGAACAGCCAAGGTGGGACTCCTTCCCTCCAAAAAAACCAAAGCAGCTCCTTTTCCCACCCCCGTCGTAGGAAGGAGAGCGACACGTGTCTTCCCCCCAACTGTGGTGTTTCTGACCATTGGAAGGCCATTTTCCCCCAGCACTCCAAAAAGGCGTGGGGGCTGGCAGCAGGCTGCCTGCAAGGCCAGACCCTGAGCATTGAGGACACATCAGTGTCCAGTGGTCCAGTGGTCAGAAAGCATTGAGTAGAAAAGGAGTGGGGGTGACCATGGTGGCCTCCAGGAGGAGGTACCATGCCCTGCCCCTCCTGTTGGTTTCCCAGACCCCACATAAATCCCCAGGAGGGGCCAGGCTCCCTCTGCATGGCTGAGATTGGCTTTCTTCCCAGCCCTGGTGAAAGAGAGCAGGGGGGTAGAGCCAGATTTAAGGTGACTCAGTAAAACAAAGGAGTGTGGGGGCTCCTGCACCTGACTTGCCTGCCCCACTGAGTTCTGAGCTCTTGGAGGCTGTGGGCTTAGCAATTCTTGGATCCCTCCAAGGTGAGCCCAGCACTGTGTCCACAGCAGTCTGTCAATATTTGCAAATTAAATCTGGGGCCCAGCCCAAGAGCTCAGGTCTGTGGAGCCAGACTCTCTGACTCTGAATCCCAGCCCCATGCTGTGCTAATTTTGTGACTTCCAGCATACCACTTAACCTCTCTGAGCCTCAGTTTCCTCACCTATAAAATGGGAGCAGGGCCAAGGGCTTTGTGCTTGGTTTAATGCTCTGCTGCCCCCATTTTGAAATTCTTAACCCAATTTTGAACAAGGGGCCCCGCATTTTCATTTTGCACTGGACCCCACAAATTCTGTAGCCAGTCCTGAATGCGCATAATATTATTATCTACCTCAGAGGATTGTTGCAAGGATTAAACGAAATAATCCGCCTAAAGTGCTTAGCAAATGAGGAGCGCCCAAGGCTCCTTGCTATTTGATCATCCCCAGTGCTGCGTGTGATGAATGAATGAAATGATCGAATGAGTGAGAGCCTGGGGAGCATTTGGAAGCGAAGGTCCCAGGCTGAGGGGGCTGTACGGAAAGTGGGAGCATTTTTGCACCCCACATTGTGGAGCAGTTGTTTCCACGGGAGCCGGTGACTCGCGTTGGGGTCCAGACAGGCCGGCACGTCTCGCAAAAAGTCCACTTGCTGAGAGCTGAGGACGTGGTTCCCGTCCTTATTACGGGGGTGTGCTCAGGCCCCCGGGAGGTCGTCAGTCTCTAACTCCTGGAGCTGCAAAAGGTCTGCGGAGGCCGGAAGCCAGGACCAGCGTTTTCTCAGGCCTCGGGGCGGAGTCTCAGCGGTTCAAGGCTTCCCCGCCCGGTCTTTGGTGGCAGCCCCGCCCCGGGGCGGGGCCCAGCGGCGGTGCACGCCGTGGGGGGGGCGGGGCCTCGCGCGCATGCGCCAGCCGGGCGCTCAGAGGAAGGGGTTGGTGCCGGCCTGCGCGGGTGGGTGGGGCGGCGCGGTCGACCCCGACGTGGGTAGCAGCGGCTGTGGCAGGCTCGTGGGCGGCGGCGTGAAGGCGCCGGCCTGCGGGAAGACGCTGACCGAGGCGGGGAGGCTCACGCCGGCTGGCACGCTGCTGAGCGGGAGGGGCAAGGAGGCGCTGTAGGTCATGGAGCCCAAGGGCGACCCGACCGGTCCGCTGGCCGCCAGGCCCAGCGCCGGCGACCCGCTGCGCATCTGGTTCAGGGTCGGCCTGCCCTGCTCTCCCCAGCCGAACGGGTTGGTGGGGGATGGAGCGCTGAGACCTGCAGAACGAGAGTGGGTGGGGGGTTTGGAGCGTTGGGGAACAAAGCCCTAAAATGAGAGGGGGTCAAGATCTGAGGTCTTAGAAATAGGGAAGAAGAGTAAGATTCAAGGGCAGGGGCCAGGCTTTAAAAGGAGAGATGGAGAGAGCAGGGGCCTCCAGTGTTGAGACCTGGCAGAGATGAGGGAGTGTCCTACCTGTCAGGAAGGGGTTCCGGGTCTTTGCAGCCTGGGGCACCTTGACTAGTGAGTCAAGGTTGACCAAAGAAGAGGCTGAGGGGCCCAGGAAGGACTCAGGGGTCCGGCAGCGTCGGGCCTCCTTGCTGGGCTGGGCTAGCGCTTCTCCCAGTACAGCCAGGTCAAAGGCATCTGGCTCCTTCATGCCATTTTGCTTGGAACTGGGGATGAGGTCTCCAAACAGGTCCAGCTCTGGAATAGAAATGATAGGGTCACTGGTAGGGAAAGGGATTGGTCACTCTGTGGGAGGAAGAGCACAGAGAGGCCAGCTCTGAGTGGGCCCCCATTCCCCAGAGCTGTATCATCCCCTGCCTCCTGCTTACCCACAGGACTGCTTGGCTTCCCAGAAGGCAGGTTCTGGGCACACTCCAGACCCTCCTTGGTCTCTGTGGATACGGGAGGTTTGGCAAATGGGTCAAAGGTCGAGGTACCACTGAGAGCTAGTCAAGGAGGAAGAGGCAGATGAGATGGGTTGGCAAAAAGGGCAGGCACTGGTCTGACCCCTTTCCAGGCAAGCAGCCCTCAACACAGAATTGGCTGCCCCTTGGCACTGGAGGGAGGGGGGACCCAGAAGGTCTCTAGCCCCTTACCCACACTCTCTGGCCCCCCACTTACCAGGTGTGTCAGAGGTCTCCACTGAAGCCCCCCAAGGGTCGGCCCCAGTGTTGGGGAGTTTGTGGTGGGGGGACTTCTGTGTCCAGGGGTCTGTGGTGGGCAGTCCAGCAGGCAGCACTGGGGTCCGGCCCCAGGGCTCAGAGGAGGAGAGCACGGGGGGCAAGTCCCAGGGCTGGCCTCGGGACAGGGCACTTCCTGAGGGGATGGGAGACCAGGGGTCTGCAGAAGGCCCCCAGGAGGAGCCACTGGGCTCTGTGTTCGGCCTGAGACCTGAAATGGGAACAGTACAGACGTGACCACATGCCCACCCTTACCCCTAGTCCAGTGCCCTTCCCAGTGACCTGGAGCAAGTTGCGAGGCCAAGGGACCCATTTCATAGATGGGTCTGACTCAGGACCACCCAGCAAGCCCATATTCAGCAAGTTATTCAAGGACCCTGGACCCCCAGGCATGGGCAACTGGGGCCACCTTCCCAGTCAGGGACCGGCTGGGGCAACAAGGGAACATCTCTGAGTTTCCCATTACCTGAACTCTTCAGACGTGCTCCCCCATCCCTCACTATGACCCCATGTCACAGCGGAAGCTAAGGCTCAGGGAGGGGAGTGACTTGCCCAGTGGCTCTCAGCTATGGGGAAGGGGTTGCCAGCAAGTGGCTGGGAAGGAAGGGGCTCTCTGGGGCTGGCCTGGGAGCCCCTTGCAGCCCTGCATGCCCACCTGGGATGTCCCATGGGTCAGCAGAGCAGTGTGTGGAGGGTGGGGCCAGGGCAGGTGCGAAGATGTCAGCCAAGTCCAGGACGGAGGACTGTGGAGGGGAGAGGCAGGTGGCTCAGAAGTGGGTGGGGCCCAGAGGGAGGGTGGGCCCTGACCTGTCATCCTAACTCCAGCTCATTCTCTGCTTTATTCATTCCACAAACATCTGTTAATGATCCTTCACCATGGTACAGTGCTTTCCAGTTTATAAAATGTTGCCTCATCTATTTGGTGCCTGATTTTCATAACAACCCTGTGTGGTAGGTAGGGCAGGTAGTAGTGTGCCCATTTTACAGATGCATTATCTGAGGTCCAGGAAGGGGAAACAATTTGCCTGAAGTCACACAGCCAGGGAGAGGCAGAGCTGGGATAGAACCCAGGCCTGCCTGACCCCTTCCTCGGTTGTCCAGCTCCTCAGACCATCGGTGGTAAAAGACAGATTTTATGACAAATCTACCTTCCTAAGTCAGTGTCCAAGGGAAATTGGCCACAGTGAACATGGGCAGAAAGGTGCAGAGACACCCCAGGGGTAGCATGGACAGCTTTGGAGGATTGCCTTGCTCCCAACAGCTGGCCACTCCCCTCTCTTGGAAAGTATGTATATGAGCCCAAGATGTTTTCAGCACCGTATGCCTGAGTCCACCTCCCGTCTGGATCCGCAGGATCACATAATCCTGGAATGTCAGAGCTGGAACTGTCCAACATGCCCACTGTACAGAGGAGGAAACTGAGGCCAAGACAATGACATGCCCCAAGTTATAAAGTAAGTGGCAGAAAATCCAGAACCCAAATCCAGGGGTCTCAGATCAAGATTCTTTGCATCCCACTTTGCTGTCAGCTCAGTCACCAGCCCATGTGGTGTGGGGACCCGGGGCTGCCACACCCCTTCCACCCTCATTTTCATTGAATAAACACTTAAGTATTGCTTACTATATACCAAGCACTGTTCCACACTCTTTACAAATATTGACTCAATTCATCTCCCAGGCTGTCAGCCCACGCCCCCTAGCCCGCTCCTACCTGGCTGGTTTTCAGCTTCTCCTCTTCCTTTCTCTGTTCTCTTTCGGGCTCTCTGTCCTGCCAACGGCGGACTGCGGCCCCAGTACCATTGGCCGTGGGAGAGTCATCTCCCCGCCAGGACCTCACCTCCTGCAGAAGGCACAGAAGGAGTGAGGAGAGCATGAGCAGCCCCGCGTGGCCTTGAGGCGACCTGAGCTGCAGTCAAGAAGAGTGCAGGGTGGGAGGTGGCCGAGAGGTTAGGCGCAGCGGGACCACCAGGAGAAGCGGGAGGAGCCTGGTTAGTGCCTGGGTAGCACCTCCACCAGCACCAGCACCAGCACCAGTCCAGGAGGCTCGGCCCACTACCTTCTCGTGCTCCTGCTGGCTCAGGCGCAGAGCCAGCTGCAGCTGCAGGTCCTCGTCCCTGTGGGAGGCTGGGGGGACCGGCTGCAGGGGAGGAAAAGAGGGGTGAACTTGGCCCAGTGCTCCCACTCCTGGGCCAAAGGGCAACACAGCCCTGTGCAGTAAGGAGGTTGGAGAGAGAGAAATGCCCACCCTGAGTGGGTGTGGGCAGCCTGCCCCGAGACAGCACTGTGGGTGTGGCCTTCTCCCTGCCTGGATCTGAGACAGCCTAAAAATCAAGAAGATTGATCCTTTTCTTCAGGGTCCCCTGAGTGCCCCCTAAGCCCTGCTGTCTGAGGCCCAGCTGCTTCCTGCCCGGTCTGCCTTGATGCACAGAGGTGACGGCAGAGAGGATGGTATCAGGGAGGCTGTCGCTGTCCCCCAGAGGACAGCTGGTGGGGGGGCAGTATATCTCTGTGTCTCCTGTGTCCGTCGGCACACTCGCCCCCTTCCCCTCCATGAGGCGGCAGCAGCCCCACGAGACACACAGGTACCTCCAACTCACTACACTCTCCCTGCCCTTTCCAGGCCCAACCAGAGAAGACTGGAGGCGGGGAGGTGGAGCCTGCAGGACCATCCCAGGGCCTTGTGCTGCCCTGGGGAGCAGGCCAGGGCTTTGGGTCCCAAAGTGGGGGAGCCTAAGAGTCAAGGCTGTGAGGCATTCGGCGCCTCTCCTTCCTCTTCCAGTCCCCTCCTCATGCCACCCCAGCCCAGCGGTAGGACTTCCAGGGCTGCCCTGGGAGGGGCCTCACCTTCTCGGCCTCCTCACGGCTCATGGCCAGGGCCAGCTGCAGCTGCAGCTCCTCTTCTCCTGACGTCTGCGGCCGGGCCTGCTCCAGGTCGGAGGTGTAGCGGGGGGATGAGGAGGAGGCTGCAACGACCATCGTGGCTTCCATAACCCCACAGGTGCCCACGGGCTCCCCCCACCCCCGCCAGGAAGCCAAGGCTCAGAGAGGGAAACGGGGAAGGGAACAACCGGCAGTGAAGGGCCCCCGGGGCCAGACACTGTGTGCCTGCACTCTGTAAGGTTTCCATTCCACCCCCGGGAAAGATTCCAATCCCGCCTTTACAGATGTGCAGACGGCTCCAGGGGTGCCTGGCCAGGTCCTGTAGCAAGACTCGAACCCGGTCCCCACTCCAGCTCCTGGATTCTTCCAGCTGGGCCCCATCCAGCTTGGGGTCAAGTGGGGATTGGGGGGTGAGAGGCTCCAAGCAATCAAGGTCACGGCCCTCAAAGCCCTCAGCACACTGTCAAGGGCTTCATGAAAGGAGGGCCATTCTGAGTATCCCTCAGATCAGGGAAGCCCCCACCGCTGTGGGGGGTGCAGGGGGAGAGGCAGGAACTGCTCTGCAGCTGCCTCCGTTTTCAAAGACAGTGCCCTTGAGTTGGGGGATTAGGGGAATGCCATGTGCCATGTGTCCAGGCACAGGGCTGAGGGCGTTGCTGGGCCTGGTCTCATTTAGTTCTCCCATCTAACAATTGAAGTAGGTAAGATTATCCCCACTTTACAGATGAGGAAACTGAGGTTCAGAGAGGTGGTTGTCCAGATCACACAGCTTGGAAGGAGCAGAATAAGGTTGCTACTGGACTCCAGAGTCTCTGCTTCTACCACTATGCCATCCTACCAGACAGCTAATTAATAATAATAACAAATATATAATAACATTATGGTTTACGCCAACCTGTTAGGCACCTACTATGTGTTGGCATTGTGGCTTGCCTGTCACATTCCTTATCTCACTGAATCCTCGTGACATCCCTCGGAAGTAGGTATCATTGTCCATGGCTTGGGGTGGCAGAGCCAGCATTGGAAGTCAGGCCGCCTCCCTGTCCCCAGCGACACCCCCGGGGCTCACTCACAGTTGTAGGAGGAAGGGGAACCACGTGAGCGGCCGTAGTCATCGCCGTGGCGGCGGCTGAAGCCCAGCTGCCCGCTGCCGATGCCGGAGCCCTCCAGCGCCATGCGCTCCTTGGTCTTCAGGGCGTGGGTGCGCTCCTGCCTGAGGCGCTCCTCATCCTTGAGCAGGGCCATCACCTGCTTGACCTTCTCGCGCACGTTGACGCCCTGGTCCTTGCCGTCGCGGTCGATGTACTGGAAGTCCTTGAGCGTCTGGATGGTGTAGAGGTTCTCGCGGCACTGGTGGGCCACCCGCTCGGAGCCCGTCTTGAGCAGGTAGTCCAGCAGCGTCAGCGCCTTGTACACATGCCGCCAGTTCTTGCCGCTGTCGTTGAGCCGCCGCCACAGCATGCCCATGACCTCGGCGAAGGCCACTGTGTTGAAGGTCAGGTCGGCAATCTCCGACATGAGCGAGCTGGGCGGGCCCCACGGGTCATTGCTGGTGGCCTCGCGCACCTTGATCTCCGCCTCCGAGTAGTTGTGCACGATGTTCTTCACCTGGCGCCGCAGCGCTGAGGTCGTCATGGCTGGGGACGTGGAGATGGGCGGCCCCCGACCCAGCCGGGGGTGGAGGGCCTAGGGCCACCGTTGCACGGTCACGGTCTCCAAGGATGGGCCACCGTCCTCTCAGCAGGGCGGCTGTGTCCTTGGGTTCCACATGGGTCTGAGGAAGAGAGGGTCTGGAACTCAGGGGCAATGGCCCGCCTCGCTGGCCACTGAGCCACCAGCCTAAGGTCTAGCCAGGGTGTCCCCACTGCCAGGAACAGCCTTCAGCGGGCTCTTTTTATTTTTCTTATTTTACTTATTATTCAGCAGGCACTTCTAGCTTTGCCGGCTTATTTATCTTCACAGTCACACTACAGAGATGCTGTTATTCTTATCTCCATCCACAGATGGGGAAAGTGAGGCTCAGGAAAGGATTAAATGACTTGTCCAAGATCACAGAGCTGGTAAGTGGGGAGCCAGGATTAACCCAGGCAGATGCACCCCACAGTCCTTGGCCTTTTCGAGGGACATGAAAGTGACCCCAGGAATGCCTGCCCGCCTCACTTCTGCTTGGCTACCTCTCCTGTTCTGCCAGGATCTAGCTTAAGACCTATCCTTTCCAATCTGTCGGTCCTCACTTTCCTCTCCTCTCAAATTGTTGATTTTTGTGGCTTGGTTCATTCAACACCTATTTCCTGGGCCCTCTCTGAGCCAGGCACGATGCCAGGCACAGAGCTCAAGTCCTGGTCCACCCACGTCTAGTTGAGAGGGTACCCACAGTCACAGTCCAGCCTGGGAGTACAGAGGACCACAGGCGTACCCAAGCTAGGAAAATCAGGGGAGGCTTCCAGAGGAGGTGAGGGCTGAGCTGAGAACTGAGATCCAAGGGGAAGGGTGAGGAGGAGTGAGGCAGCAAGGAGGAGAAGGGCAGCTGAGAGGGCATACTGTGAGCTGGGCCAGAGGCAGGAGAGGAAGGAGCATTTGGAGGAGGCTGCGCCTCAAAGAGATCTAGTCACCACCACCCCAGCTGTACACATGAGAATACTGAGGCCAGAGAGGGGACATAGTCTGCCCACAGTCATACAGCATGTAGGTGGCAGAGCTGGGACTAACACCTAGGTCTCCAGAAGACTAATCCAATACTTATTGTCAGCGTCACCAGTTTTGTAATTAATTCATCCTATTGCTTTATTGTCTCAGTCCCACCTTCTCAGCCAGAATGTAAGCTCCCTGAGGGCAAGGCCACTCTGGGCTCCCCAAACCCCTGGCCCTGGGCACATGATAGACCTCTGACATCCCAGCTGAGGGAGGATTGGGCCAGCCCACTGCCCTCAACACAGCCTCAGGACCAGGCCATCTGCTGAAAGCAAAGGCAGAGAAAGGCTCTCCCAGGGCTCTACCAGAAACCAAAACCGGAATCCCCCTGCCACGGCCGTTCCTCTGGCATGGGTGTACACTGGCATGGGTACATACCGGCATAGGTACATATGCACGCACACTGGCTGGACCTGCAGAGCCTGTACTTCACCCGTGAACCCCCCACTAACACCAACGCCCCTGAGACTGCACCTCTCAGCTCTACCCTGGGACTCAGCAGGAGAAGGAGCCTGTCCTGCCCTCCCCCCATCTCAACTCTCCCTCCCACCCAGCCCTGCCAACCTTGGGCTCAGTTCAAAGTGGCCCCGCAGGCCTTGGCAGGTTTCATCAGGGCCCAGGCGCCTGGGAGAGCTTCAGCCCAGAGGATGGGATCCCCTGGGAGACCAGGTGGGGTGGAGACTGCTGGTTGAAAGTGCTGCCTACCTTCTGTCTGCTGTCTTTCCGTCCAGCTGGTGGCAGGCCTTCTGTGGGGATGCCTCGGCCAGCACTCGTTTAACTTCTGCCCTCCCCCTCACTAGTGACTCAGACCTGTCTTTACCTTCCTAACCAGTGGTGGCAAGAGTCAAGATGAGAAATAATTGTGCCCTAAAGCCCGCCCCGAGTGCACGCCCCTCCCAGTGCTGGCCACAGAAACCAGCAGAACCAGTCAGGCATCACAACTCCACCAGCAGCCCTACCTGGGCCTGGCTGTCCTGGACCTCTTGCCTGGCCTGGGGTAGTGGGAGGGAGCCCTCAGTGTGGGCCCTGCAGCCCTGCCTGGACTTTCCTCCTGGAAGGTGGGCACGGAGGAGCCTTCTCTGCACACCTCTGCCGGAGCTGGGGGAAGGGAGGGATCAGAACCACCAGGGAGGTGCCTCGGACCTCCCTCCCCTGAAATTTGAGGGGGCAAGGTGGGGTAGAAGAAGGGGCCTGGTGAGGCCAAGGGAGCACGGAGGGGAGGGAGGAGGAAAGGAAGGAACACGGGAGGGAGCGGCTGGGAGCGCTGCCAGCGGTGTTACAAGCAAAGGGTTTTATCGAACACAATATGCCCAGAAATAAAAGGGAGTGAAACAGAAACCTAGCAGCCGATAAGGCGGCGGCAGCAGCAGCCCGGGCAGCCGGGTATGGAATTACTGCAGTGACCTTGAGCCAGACCCTGTCAGGTGGAGGGAAGGACACTGAGAAGGCAGGGCCCTGAGGCCAATTCAGAGATGGGGGAGGGCGAGGCGGCAGGAGGGTACAGGGCAGAGGAGGGAGGAGTAGGCTGGGGGTATGGGAGAAGGGCCAGCAGGGGGTGGGAAGGGCCATGGGGGGCCTGAGTCTCAGCACTCTCCTAGATATAGGGTCCCAGGGAGAACTTTACAGGGGAGGGGGCTGCTCTTTTCAGGGCCCACAGGACTGGGGGACCCGTCAAGACTAAGGAAGCAGATGGCAAGAACCCAGATCTGTAGAGTCACATGCATGAGTTGGTCCAAAGTCTGTGTGTGCCCCTACCAGCGTGCACCCCTCCCATCCTCTGTCCTCCATCAGGTCCAGCAGGAGAACTGGGGGGAGTGGCAGTGCCCTGCCTCCTGCTGCTGGAGGGGCAGGAGAGTGAGCTCTGGCCAAAGTCAGCCCTCAGGTAGCTGTGTCCTGGGGGCACTGGAGTTGGGTGGGGGCTGCCCTGAGGCTAGAGGTGCAACAGGGGCTGAGGAGGAGGAGTGGGCAGAGAGGAGCAGGAGTCTGTGGGGAATACCACCAAAGATGCTAGTCCCAGGATGGGGAGTGAGCCCCTGAGTCCCCCTTCCTGGGGGCTGCGGGCGGAAGCATCCAGGATGGCCCTGCCCTCCTCACCCCTCTCCCTGGGACCTGGCAGGGAGACTAAGCCCCAGCCTTCCATGCCGGGCACCACCGCGGATGGGAGGGGCCAGCTTACCTCCAGTGCAGGCTCCCTTGGCCCCAGCCCTGGGACCGGGACGATGAGCAGCCTCTGCAGTGACCCTCTGACCTGCGCGGCAGGGGGACGGCACGGCCTTGGGAGCCTCCCCAGAGCCATCCACCATGGACCCACGTCCTGGAGACCAGCCCTCTCCCAGGAGGCGCAGACCCCTTGGAAGGGGGGCCGCAGGGTTCCCAGAATGGGCTGCAGCTCTGCCTCTGGCTCGCCTGCTTTCTAAACGCCCAGCCGGCAGGCAGCACTCAGAGGAAAGTTGCTCAGCTGGCCCGGCAGGTCTGCCTCAGCAGTAACAGGACACAGGAGGAAGCGCAGGGCATGTTAACCCCTTCCTGCTGGCGGGGCAGACGCACCTTCAGAGCTGGGAGGCCTGCCTGCTGCCTGTCCCCAGGAGGTGCAGAGCCAGGGCCTGTGCTGGCGGCCTCCTTGCACCCTGCAGAGAGTTAACCCTTCCCCTGCCTCCTCAACAGGAAACAGGGCAGGGGGCCTCCAATACCCATCCCACCCCTACCCCTCCTCCTCTGGGCCAGGAGGACCATTCCCTGGGGCTGGCCCTTTGGTGGAGTTACTGCCTTCTGTAGGCTTCCAGCTGGCCCCCTCAACCACCCTGATGGGGGCATCGGGACTCCACACACAGCCTCCTTGACATAGGAACTGAGTGCCCTACTCTTTCAAATCTCTTCCCAGGTCTCAACTGAAGGATGCTTGAGGCCCAGGAGGTCCTGATCAGCAGCACCAAATACCCACCAAGTGGGTGGGAGACTGTGGCCACTCCCCTGGTCTCCCACCCACACCTCTGCTCCATTGGCACTAAGGCAATAAGCTCACCATTAGCAAAGTTCTTCAATCTCTGGGCCCCTGAAGCCCACTCCACACAGGAAGCCTTGCCCAGAATGATGATTACTGACAGCAAACAATTGTGGTACTGAGTTTGAGCTGACAGCACCTTTCTTTCCAAGAGCCATCTCTTACCTACTTCACATTTCTCCAAGCAGGGAGAGAGTATAAAGTCCAGACGCTGTTTTTAAGGCAGAAAAATGGTTCAAGGAGGCCCAATGGTTTGACATGAGGCAGGGGACGAGACAGACTTAAATCCAGAATAATGACCTCTGGCCGAGGACAAAGGGATCTGGCCTCTAGGTTTTAAGAATGTGGTGAGCTTGATCCTCAGGGACTGGGACAGGGCCCTTGGACCCAGCCCAAGTGGGAGGATCTCAGGGAGCCAGTCCCATGGGGACTAATTCTCCTAGTCTCATACTTTGTCATACCTGGTGATGACACTTGGGGAAGACCTGGCTCCAGGAAGCATGACCCCAAAAGTATGGGCTAAGGAAGGCCAGAGGCAGGGACTATAAGGGGTGACGCTGTCTGTCCTGTCACCTGATTCATTCCTTGTCCTGCTACCAACTTGCTCTTCCGCTCATCATCCCACACGTCACCTCCCAGGTGTGTTTCTCTCTCCTCCTGTTAGCCGGCTCTGGGAACTGGGAGGAGGGGAAGCTGAGGGCTGGTGGGACAGGGGAGGACCTAGGCTATAAGTTGACCTCATCAAGATCTGACATTCAAGACACAGAGCCATAACAGAAGTGGTAGGAACCTAAAGGTTCTTTATTGATTTGTTTGTTAACCAGTTTCCCAGAAGGCTGCTTGGGCACGCGAGTCAGGTTCAAAGACACAAAGCTTCCCCGACATTCTTTACGGGGCTGAGCTCATCAGCCAGGACCACCAGGTTGGTCACCAGGGTGTCCAGCAGCTCGTAGACCTGGAAGAACAGGACAAACTTCACAGGCAAAGGTTCACTCTGTGGAAAGCACCCACACAGGGGAACATCGACCGGGCTATGAGGGTGGACATCTCTACACCACAGAGAGAACAGCTGGTGAAGGGATAAACCAAAGTTGTGCGAGTTTCTGTAGAACTTGTGTTTTTGCAAATAGTTTTATTTTTCGAACCAGTCTGGGGAGGTAATCATGTACTGGCCCCTTGGACATATGGGGACATTGGAGCTGAGCATGGCTGAAGGGGCAATTCCAGGGAGACCAGGGAGCACTTAGGCCCTTGGGTGGCCAATTCTACCCTGGCCTCCTGGAGGCCAATCTTCCTTCCTGTAAGATCACAGATCCACGGATGAAATGTCTTCAAGACTGTGCCCCTCCAGTGGGGCTGGACCACAGAAGCCTCTGCAAGTTGATTCTTAATTACAAAGAGCCGAGGAAGAGTCTACCCCATGGGTCCTGAGAGCCCTATGATTATTTTCTAGACTCCATCGACCTTCAGAAATGTCAGTGATGTCACTAGCAGCAAATGGAGCTTCTGATCAAATGAGATCCAGAGTGTTACCACAACGCATGATGCAATCCCAGCTACCCGGCTCTCCACACCAGAGGAAGACAAAGCATCGCCATTAGACACATTGACACATCCAACATGGCTTTGTGGACCTCCCCTCCAAGACAAACAACAACAAACGACCAAACACGCACCTGGGTGAATCTCTAAGGACATACTGCTTAAGAATACATCATTATGAAGTCTCTCTGGTGTTTCAAAACCCTTACACTTGCTGCAAATTCACTCTACATGGTGTTCCCCCAAGGAGGGCATCTGCCAAGACACACCTAACGCAGAGAGGCAGTGGGAGCGGCAGAAAGGGAAGGGCTTTGAATGCCTAAGTCAGACCATATCACGCCTCTATTCAAAACCCCGCATGACTTCTCATTTCACGAAGAAAAACCCCAAGTCCTCAACGTGGCCTGCAAAGCCCCACATGACCTGCTCCCTCTCGGTGGCCTCTCTGCCCGCTGTCGTCCTGGCCCACTCCCTCCCCTGCATTAGTTGCTCCCTCTGCCTAGGGCGCTCTTCCTTGGATGTCCACAAGGCCACCCCTCACCTCCCTTCAAGTCTTTCTTTGATGTCACCTTCTCGAGGTCCACCTGTCCCCGCTAGGGCCTTCCCCATCCCCCCGGTCCTGGTCTCTCTCTTTTCCATAGTGCCCATCGCCTACCATACTAGATGCGTTACTTATTCATGAGGTCTGTCTGGCACACCAGCATGCCCTTCACAAGGGCAGCTCTGCTTCCATCATGATGCGGTAGGCACTTATCATTTGTGGAACAAACAAGCTGAATGAGGGTGTGGGGGAAGGTGCGCAGGGCAGGCGTGAGCAAGGGGAAGGCTGAGCACCGGGCTCTCGCCCTCACCTCAGTGTGCAGCCTCTGGGTGTACTTCTCCATGACCAAGGGATCTATGGGCTCCTGAGAAGGGGTGGTGCTGTCAGGGGCAGGGTCTTCCAAGAAAAGCCTGTCCCGACTGAAAGAGGGTTTCATAGGTTTCTTGTCGTCCTTTGCCTTCTGCTTCTTGCTGTTTAAACGGTCCTGCTTGGAGAGACGGAGACACACACAGTCTTCAACAGCTCCTGAGGGAGGTCCAGGACTTTCTCAAGAGCAGCGCACGGGGAGAGCCGGGGCATCACGCTGGAGTGACCACCCATTTCCGCAGCCCCCCGAGGCCCTCCCCAGCCCCACCCCAGGCCCAGACCATGCCTCTTTCCCTGGCTGCTTGGCTCCTTTTTTATCCTCTTTGTCTCTGACTCCCAACTGCTTCTTTTCCTGGGCTGCCCCTCTCCGGTCCTCCTTCCCAACTCTCCCGGAAGCCACCTTCACTTCTATGACAGGAGGTGACTTTCGACCTAAGGGAGGCGAATGGAAGACAACGTGGCCTGTGGCCCAGCTGACCCCACATGCAAGAGTCGGGAAACAAAGGGTCCTGGGCTGTCAGCGCTCTCAGCAGCTTTGAGAGAATTCCCACAGAGTGAGAGCAAAGCCTCTGGTTCAGGTGCATGACCCTGTGGAACAGGACTGTGGGGCAGGGGCAGGAGCCCTGGGTTCTAGTCCCAGCTCCGCCACTCCCCCAATTATGGCATGGACAGGTCATTTAGCCTCTCCGGGACTCCATCTGTAAAACAAGGGAACTGAACTAAGGTGATCGCTAAGGTCGCTTCTGGGTCCCAAATCCTGGCAGCAGACAAAAGGGTGGCAGGGGCCTTCTCCATGGATCAACATAATGGAGGTTCCACCACAGGGGTACAAATGGCTGAGGTGCCACTGCCACCTGCGCAGAGGGATGGGGAAGACTCCATGGAAGTGTGGCTGCACAGTCTGACCTTGCTCTCCTGGCACGTCCAAATAGGTGGTCTCCTTCTCAGGCAGGCCCAGCAGAGCCCTCAGCCACAGGGAATGGCTTACCAGGCTGTCAATCACATCTCGCCACAGCTGCAAACTGGAGGGCAAGACACATTGGAGAGCAGCCATCACCCCTCACTTGCTCTTGAACCTACAGGGGCTTGGGTCCTTCCCTTCCAAGATGCTCGTGCCAGGAACTGCCATGGCGACGCCATGCCTCTGTCCAGCCAGCATCCTCACCAGCACCTGTGCAAGCACTTGGATAGGGATCTGGCTTCTCTCAGACACAGCCAAGAAAAAGTGGCCTGGGACTAGGGTCAGGTCAGTCTAACTGCCAGCTTGAAACAACGGCTAGATTTGGGTCCAGCCTCACTGGAGGGGCTAGACCTTGCCCAAGATTTCCAGCATGAGGCTCCCAGGGATGTGTTCTGAGGGTCTTACTAAAGGTCCCCAGCCTCTCCAGACAAGTTCCAAACAGGCGATGAGAAGGCCGACAACCAAGAAGTGAGGCTTTCCATGGAACATGCCCCTCTTCTCACTGCCCTCAGGTTTCTCCTCTTTTCATTCCTCTGCTCGTTGAGAAGGAACAAGGTGTTTTTTTTTGGTGAGGAAGATTGGCCCTGAGCTAACATCTATTACCAATCTTCCTTTTTTAGCTTGAGGAAGATTGTCCCTGAGCTAACATCCATGCCCATCTTCCTCTACTTTGTATGTGGGATGCCACCATAGCATGGCTTGATGAGCGGTGTGTAGGTCTGTGCCTGGGATCTGAACCCATGAACCCTGGGCCACCGAAGCAGAGCATGTGAACTTAACCACTACACCACCAGGCCGGCCCAAGAAGAAACAAGGAATAAGGAAAAATTTTAAAAAAGACTAGGTGCTTATTCTGCTGTGACTGCTGTCCCGACAGCAGCAGGGACTCTGTGGCATGGAATGTCT